AAAGTATTGTCTTTTGTTGTTATGGATTATGGTTTGTGTTACGCGTCTAAAGATTTCTTATGCATCTCGTGTATGAAATAATGTCTGTGTGCATGTGTGTAAAACAACAAACTGACGAGTCATATGCTTAATCATCTGTAATTGTATATACATTGTTGTGATTGATTGTGGCTGGAATTTAAGAACTTGGTAAGAAAAAATTATTAATTATTAATACTGAATGTACCTTAATATTTCTCATATTCTATAATATTGCTGGTGTTTTATCTAAGCAATAAGGCCGTATGTTACAGTGATTTTACTATGTTTGAAAACAACCATGGTAAATCTGCTGCGTTAAAATATAATATGTATGTGTGTCGCGTCTGTCACTCGTCACTCGTGCATCTGCTGAACGCTTCTAAATCTCTCATTCTGCTCACTTATCACCAAATCTGGGATTCAGTCGTCACTTGTGTTCTTTCAATCAGCACAGGTTTTGTGTTTCTTTCTGGAACTTATTAATCCATGCACCTCAGTTTATGAGTGAAAAAAGCATTATTTATGCATAATTTTGGCTCATGAGTTCAGATCAGTGAGGCCCGCGATCAATCAGATCCAGAAAGAAACATAAAACCTGTGCTGATTGAAAGAAAACAAGTGACGACTGAATCCAAGATTTGGTGATAATATAGCACAATGAGAGATTTACAAGCTATTTAAGAAGCCAGTTATTTTTAACCCGGGAAATTAGGAATAAGAAAAATCCCCAAAAGCATAAAAATTATCAAATTTTTTTTGGGTAGTTGTTATACGCCGTGTGAGCAAATTTAGTAAGTTTTAGTCCAACAAGGTTATTATAGTTAACTAAAACTAAAACCATAAAAAACACAAAATAAAATAAAATATTTTTAATATTAAACTTATTTTATTTCAGCTAGTTGCCATTTCTCATTTTCATTTAGTTTAACTTGATAAAAAACTGGATAAAAACGATTTAAACTAAAAATATAAATATAAAAAATACTCATAATCAGAGTACAGTTACTTGATTACATATTATTCACACAATTATTAATCATAATTTATTGATTCTCTCTAATTCTTCTTTTTCATCTTTACATTTTCCTAAACATTACCCATTGTAATGCACAAATTCATTATTTCTTATCAAATTAATTATTTCTTATTTACACGTACTGTAATGTCACTCTTTCACCTAATATATTTACTTGAAGCCCCGCTGAGATTTTAAGGTAATTAAGTAATAATTAAGTAACACATCTGCATGTTCACGGTTCTCTGATGTTGGTTATTGGTCACATGACATGCAGGTAAACAAATAAAATATTTCATTTCATGTGATTGATGTTATTTTAAAATGATTTATTTTAATTTGACATTTTTATGATTTAATAATTAGTTTTTCATTAAAAAGTTCCTTTACGAAGCCCTGTTTGGGAAACCTTGACCTAATGTAATGTTTAATGCTTAATTACAACGAATGGAATATATTTTTAAATCAATATGGTACAAGATTATCCTATTTAAATCAGTGTAAGGTCAAAAGTAATCTAAAAGTAGTCTAATTATATGACCTGAAATGTCTAATGTAATGGATTGGTTATTAACTACAGTTTTTGTCATGTAATTTGTAATTAATCTAGCCAACACTGAACCAGTAACATTAACTCGCTTTTTCAGGAAACCGAAAATACTCTCCGGGTCAAAATGACCAGAAAATATAAACACGAATTATTCTAAATGACCAAAAGCTGCTGATTTTTCTTCACTTTAACTGAAAATGTTCTTTGATGGAGTACAATTTGATGCCGCACGACATTTAGTGTAAAACAACCCAACATTAAATATGGAAGGCTAACAGTCTTAATGGACTAAAACACAAATCTGCGAGTGCTCTGGAGTTGAAGTATTGATTTAATTACTGCGCACCAACAGCACGATTTGTCAAAGCTCTCATACGTTTGAGGTCTTTGCTTATTTCTTTCTCATTGCGAGAGTCAAACACACTGTAAACCAAACGAAACCCCATGCGCTCTGACTTCATTAGAAACCATTATCAATCTGATGTTACCACATCCATTTAATGCCAAATCACCTGTTGAGATCACAGATGTTTGTCTTCCCATGTTTCCATGCCTGTCGACTGCAAGCAGCAGCAAGTTAATCATCTTTTTATTCCCTCGAAACTCTTAATTATTACGCTGCGCTGCGGGCGAGCATAATTTGCAGATTAGCCGGCGAGTGCGAGCATGTCTTCACTCCCTCCGCATACTTTCACATCTACAGCTTTAAAAGACCTGTTTGTTATGCTTTTTTAATTAAATATCTACTTCATTTCTGTCACCGCACAATAGAAAACTATTAAAGAGGCTCTGAAAACAGCAGGACCGGCGCAGACGTGTTTTCCAGCACAAAGACCCCTTTATTTACAGGATGCTCATCTGAAGAGACTTACAGGAACTAAACAATTCGTCACAGAGCCAGCAGCATTCATAATACATCACACTTCCAGGTTTAGAATGAACCGTCGTTCTCAGAGCGGATGTAAATAAGTCATTTATGGACGCTTTAGGCAAGATCAAGTTCATCTCAATAGCATAAAAGCCACGACTTAATGCACATAGAAATTAATAAATTAATTAAATTTCTAAAATTCTAAATAAAATGAAATAAAAAATAAAAATTAAATTAAAATGCAAATCAAATAAAAATGTAAAGGCTAATAAAATAATCTAAATAAAATAAAATAAAATAAAAGCAATTTATCAAAAAGCCAACCGTTTTTGTAATATATAATGTCAGGTTTATTGGACATAACAAATATAATTAATTAAGAATTTATATAAGCAGGAGAAGTTAATCCTTATATAGTGCATAATATACACAACAAAATGTTTGACGTAAAGAAAAAGCCAAAATTAAAGACATAAAAGCCACAACTAAAATAATTTATGGGCATAAAAAAAATGAATGTATAAATAATAAAATAAAATAAATTTTATTTTAAAATAAAATAAAGAGCCAACAATACTCATGATACACAATACTAGGTGTATAAGACTACTAACAAACCGTTGTTCTCATTCTCTCAGAGGGGATCTGGTGAATAAATAAATAAATAAATAAATAAATAATTTTTTTCGGAGAGGCAACAATATTTGTGATATACAATACTAGGTTTATTGGACTATTAGATTAGGAAGATGACTCAGTCAGCTTGATTTTCATTAGAAATCTGTCTTGTTTTTCCTGAAATCGCTCGTGTAAGAAGCAGTTTGCTGGTCATCAGAGTTTCCACTCTCTTTCTGAAGAAACATCTCATGGCCGAAGACAAACAGAGATTTAAAAAAAGAAATTAGCAAAACAAAACAATAAAAAGCTTGGCTCTGGCTCGCTCGCTCAAACCTGGAGTTAATCAGTTTCCCTCTCTAACACAAACGACGCCATTTCATCCCAAATAAACTGAGACTCCTGAACCTGAGCGGAAAGCAGACGTGGATATTTACGGCGATGAGGAATGGCGCTGATGTTTAGCGGATTACGCGGCATTAAATCTCAGGTTTGCGCGGGTCTCTGCGCTCGTTTCCATGCGTTCAGCGCTTCAGGTATGCGCCGCTAATCAGAGACTCCAGTGTGTTATGAACGATCTGCCAAACACCAGAGCCAGGCCAAGAGAAGGAGAATACATCTGGAGGACCTTGCTGCGCCGCAAACTGATGGAGTCCAGACGCGTTACTGGTGACCTGCTGTTGGTTCTGTGCTCATGCTACAACACTCAGATCCAGATCCTGCTGTGGGTTTGATTTAGTGAATCTGTATTCTGCGGTAAACTGTGTGTGGGCCTCCGAAGCGTTTAACGTAACTGTGTTTATGCAGCACTGAATAAAAATCAGCAAAGAGAGGCAGAGAGAGATGAGCAGAGTGACACACCATGCCATAGATGTTACGCGGACGGTTCTCCAGAATGTAGTACCTGAACCAGAAAACACAAACAAACTCAGAAAGCTTTGGTAAAGAAATGACGAGTTAATGTAAGATTTAGACAAAATAAGATTTTTTTTTTTATATCACATTATACATTCAAACCAAATATTTTTCAGACAGCAGATATAATTGTTGATATTTTTTCACTAGTGTGTGCAGGACACTATAGTTCATTTATGTAAGTGAGGAGAGCTAAATAAAGTAAACTGTGACACATTATACCCATAAACTCTTCATACAGTGGACTACCGGATCATAAATGATTCAGACACTTTGAGCTGAGCATGTTTTGCTGAAGCGTTTTTCTTTAATTGCTAACGTGATCTTTTTACACCACAGACTGAACTAAATGAAGCACTGCTTGGTAATTAGTTGAGCTAAATTGGTTTTATCTAATTGTGT